TGTCTTTCTAATACTGCTTTTTCAGTTTTCCCACATTGTACAAATCTGGTTTAAAAACTCATTGTCCATGCTTTCTGCCTTTTTTGGTATTTTATCTACTTAATCTTTATTTATTCAGTTACTGTCACATTGTCTAAGAGTGTCACCATTTAGTTCATATTCTGTGTCATAAGATCTAAGGCTATAAAGTGATTCCAGAAAAATACAAAAGTAATAATAATCAGAAAAAGTGTTTTTCTTTTAGCATGATACAAGTATATGCTTTTAGCATGATACAAGTCTGTTCACAATTTTAAAAATTATTTTGCATCTATAAATGTAACTAAATATTTGTAGTGGGTTTGCATGGCCAGATTTTGGTAACAGAGGGTTACAGTGGTGGCTTCCATGAGAAGTTGCCAGAAGTTTCACTTGTGTTCGATGGAGCCAATTCTGGCTGGCTCCGAGATGAATCTGCTGCCAGCCAAGGCTGAGCCCATCAGTGTTGGTGGTAGCATCTCTGGGATAACAGATTTAGGCAACAAGAAGAGTTGCTGCCTAACAGAAAGTGCAGTGAGAGAGGAGAGGAGTGAGAATCTGTGAGAGAAACAGCCCTGCAGGCACCAAGGTCAGTGCAGACACCAAGGTCAGTGCAGAAGGAGGGGGAGGAGGTGCTCCCAGTGCCAGAGCAGAGACCCCTCTGCTGCCCGTGGTGCTGCCCATGGTGAAACAGCAGTGCCTCTGCAGTCCATGGAGATCCATGGTGGAGCAGAGATCCACTTGCAGCCCGTGGAGGAGACCCACAGGATGTGTGGCCCATGGAGAGAGAGAGGAGTTCATGCTGGAGCAGATTTGCTGGCATGACTTGTGACCCTATGGGAGGCCCTTACTGGAGCATTCTGTTCCTAAAGGATGCCACCCTGTGGAATGGATCCACACTGGAACTCCAGCTTGTGTGAAGGACTTTGTGGAGGATGTTGCCCAGTGGGAGGGACCCAATGCTGGAGCAGGGAAGAGTGTGAGGAGTCTTCCCTTTAGCAGGATGGAGTGGCAGAGACAACATGTGATGAACTGACTGTAACCCTGGTTCACCATCCCTCTGGGTGGTGGAGAGTTCAGGAGTGAAGTTAGACCTGAGAAAAAAGCATGGGTGGGAGGAAGGTGTTCTTAAGATTTAGGTTTTATTTCTTCTTTTCCCACTCTGATTTGCTTGACAATAAATTAATTTAATCTCCCCAAGCTGAGCTTGTTCTGCATGTGACAGTAACTGGTGAGTGATCTTTTCATGCACTTGTCTAGACCCGCAAGTCTTTCATTATATTTTGTCTCCCTGTCCAGCTGAGGTGGTGAGCGATAGAGCAGTTTTTGTGGTCAACTCACAACAACGTTGTGTTGCCTGGTATATTAAAAAAATTAATGGACTATTTTACAGCAATATTTTCACTTTAAAATGTGAGTAATTTTTTTTTGTTTTTGTGTGAGTTTGGTTTGGTTTGGTCATTTTTAGTTTGTCAGGAAAATTCACAGCTTGTACATAATTTAATAAGAAAGTCAATACCAATTGTTTAATGAAACCTGCGTTGCTGCCTATGTACTAAATGCTCAAAAGGGGAAGTGAAGTAAAATGCAATTCTAGTACATCTGCCTCCCTTTATGTGTTTGCTATTGCATTTCTACTATATCTGTGTGGGTGAGACTATGAGGAGAAACATTGCAGCATCTCGTAACACACCATAAGCCCTGCAGTGTAGCCTTGCAAAAACAGCAGCACTGTGACTTGCAGTCTGGTTGGATAGATGTGTGTGATCAAAACATTAGGAAATACAATTTCTTTTGTGTCTTGGTGTGGCAGCTGAGTAAAGGCACAAAGCTGGGAAGCCCAGCTGTGCAGTCCAGATTTCACTGAGAGGTGCAAGTGTCTGTAACCACTGATGAACTTGAAGGGGAGCCTCTCTGGAGACACTTGGATGTAGGAATTTCCTAGATATGAGTTGGGTAGCCTCCTGAAATGAGGTGTGTGGACTTTTCTAATTGTAATCTTAGTATCCTAAGTGAACCATCTCTTTTGTATATGTCAGATTTTTCACAAATATCTGCATAGAAGATGTAAAAATATTTTTATTATATAACTGCATTTCATCTCTGACCAGCTTAGTGGAATCTCTCTCCCCCAAGTCCTACATTTTATGTAGCATAGTATTTTATTATGTTTGTGCTTGTGGCTGGAAGGCCCCAAAATGTTTTTGTTTCAGTGTGTATAAAACTGTACAACACAGGTGTATATATGTAAAAAATGTAAAGAAAAGATGGAACATAGAGTTTTTGTCACCTTTTGTCATGACATTGAAGATTGGCTGCCTGGTAGTGTGAAAATGACATGCCATCATATCAACTGTATTATTTCTGCTCTCTCTCTCCTGGTAGATTTTTAGAACTGATTACAAATTTATTATCTCCATATCTCATCTGCTTAAGAGTTAGTCCCTATGATTATATTACTTTCTGGGCATCTTTGCTTATACAGATTAATGTACAGAAGAGTTAGTTTCTTGTAGGAGTTCTGCAGCTTTAGATACAAAAATATTAACAAATAAACCAACAAACCCAGCACTCAGTATGTTATGATAAATTCTAATTTCAGAATTGAATTTTCTACGTACTTTACTTTTAGTGTCTTTTTTTCCCTAAACCTTATCTTGTTCATTTTTGCAGTTCTTCGATACTATTCTTAAACTATTTTTTCTTGTTTTAATCCTTAATAGGAAAGGCCTATCCCATGATTTCTCCCTTTAGAACATCAATACTGTAGAACATAATATTTTATTTGGCTCTTAGTAAGTTCTGCTTTCATGAAGAATAAACTTTTTAAATACTGGAAGCTGACAACTGGCAGGGCTCAAGACCATATATTCAGTAGTATTTAATGCAGTACCATATGAGTGGTGCCTTTCTTATACTCACATTTGTAGACTAAAATGCTGTAAATACCATGAGTTTCTTAAGCTTCAATTATTGTGATGATATTTCATGTTATGTTGGTTTCATTTCAAATATGTTTAAGATGCATGGCCTGATTCTGCCATCATTGACTTAACTGTTTACAATTAAGAAACGTCTTCAATTAATTCCTATTTATATTAATGTATTTAAAATCAGAAGCAGACATGTTGTATACCAAAGACTTCTATAGTTCTACACCTTCTCATTCTTTAAGTTAGGCCTTTCTTACAATACTGCTGTATTGCATGGCAGTATATTACAATATGATTTTAGCACATTTTTTTTTGAAGACATGAGGTATTTGAACAGATCTCACCTAACCACATATGTATATTTTAAATCTGTCACTATTAGTATTTTACCAAAGATACTTATGAAGAGGGCAGGTGAATGCATCTCAATTTTTAATTTTTTTCTACTTTTGCCTTTCCAGAGACTTAAATCAATTATCTCTGTCTTTCCTCAGTAATAAAAATGGCATTCCAGTCTGAATCTCTTCTCCAAAGCACAGAGTCACAGTAATAGGATTTATTATTTTCATTATACTAGTGCAACTGTGTTAAAGTACTTGTACTCCAAGGTGTAATGAGTGGTTTGGGATCTTAATCCAACAATACTGTCCCTCTGAGTAAAGATGCTTGGATATTTTTAATGGGTTGGAGGCGGGGTGGCAAAAATACTGAAGGTAATCACATATTTTTATATAGGTTATTCATTTCAATAAGCCCTTTGTTTGAAAGTTTTTCAGGTGTTCAATGGGTTTTTGGGGCTTTTTTTGACAGGGAGAGAGAATTACCCCAGCAGAAGGAGCAAAGGGCTTAGTGGTAATGGGTGCTACCTGTGGTGGATGAGAGCTGAACCCCTGCTCTCCCGTGGCCAGCAGGACCAGAGCTGCTGCTGGGAGAGGTCCCAGTTGCCCAGGCTGCTTGTTGGCTCTCACAGGTTGTCTGTCTGCTTGGTACAGGTCAGCTCATGTATGTGAACCCTGAGTAACACAGTCTGTATGTCAATGCTGCTGAGTATAATACATCATCCTGCTCCTTATGGGACAGGAGAAGCCCAAACCTTTTTCCCAGATGACTGACAATGACTAGTTTCTCTCTTAATTGAGTGGATTACCTGGGATGCCTGCGGGCCCCATAGCTGCTCCTCTGTGGTTTTTACAGCAGCAGGAGTTTTCAGCCAGTAGCCAAATTTTGCCAAGGAGCATACTCTCAGTGAGTAGTATGGAGTGGTGCCCTGACCCTGGTTTGTTTATGCATGTAGACCTAGCCTGAAACAAGTATTGGCAATAAAAAAACTAATTTGGGCAGATTAAAAGAGATAATTATTACCTGGCATATTCCAGGTAAAGGTTCCTGCCATTGGGTTAAAGGCTAGTTTGGGAAATCCTCGTACCTCTGCCAGTAATTTATGCAAGGATTGAAGTACTCCACCTGTTGACTGAATAAGCAGTGGGTTTTCTTTAAGAATTTGTCTCTTTAGGGTTTTTTTTTTGCTTGTTTGTTTGTATTTTCTTCCTTTTTTCCCCTCTCTTTTCTAGTTTGATAACAGGCCAAAAAAAGCAGGGATTTTTTTTCTTGTGGCCTTATTTAATACTTCAGGTGCATTTTACTGGAAAAACAATGGCACAGGCTTGCAAGTTTACTATGGCAGTTGGTTGCAAACTCATCCTCTCTTGAAGATACTGGCAAGTGGTTATCTCATCTGCAGAATAATTTGTGTAGAATTTAATTCTAGAATAGTAATTCTTCCTGCCATATTTCAGACAGGATGACCCCACCACTGAAAAACAGAACCTGGAGCCAGGGTATGAGGGTTCCTCTCCAGTGATGTTCTTTGGCTCTGAGCTCTGTTTCTCTGTGCATCCATTTGGAAGTAATGTCTGCAGAGGCATGACTTTTGTGGACAATTTTGTGACCCAGATCCAGGAGCAAAAAAAGGAGTGTTGCTAATACCACTGTAGTCATTGGACATTCAAAATGCAAAGTGCTCTGCTGATAATAATGTGTTTATTGCAGTGACAGGCAATGGCACAAGTTAAAATGCAGACTACAGCAAACCTGTCTGGACCCACCATGGCCCCTGTGGTGCTACCCCTGCCAGTTACAGCTACAAATACCCTGAGTCTGCCATCCTCAATGAATGGATCCATTTCAGAATCGGCTGCCAGCTGTAGCAGTCCTACTGCCAGCCTTGTGGATCCCGCGTCTTTGAACAACTCACCAGGTAAGTTGGTTCAGTGCTGTTCAAATTGATGACTTGTTAATTTAAAACGATAATTAGGTCTTAAAGAAGATTAAAATAAAGGAGAAAACCCACAAAGAGAAATGTTCTGGATAAATAAACTGTTTACTAAGTTTAGTTTCTTTATTGAGTTCAGATTTGCAGTGAAGTTTTGATCAATTATATAAAAGGTCAGAAAAGAACATGTCTACTTTGTCAAATTCTCAGTGTATCTTTTATAGAGAAGTTTTAGTGGGGCAGGAAGGTCTCCAAGTTTATTTCTCTTCCCTAGAACAGAATGTCTTCTGACTGCTTGGCAGTATTTGGTGTTTCTTTTGTAGCCTAACAAATGCTGTAGCTCCTATGCTGAACTGGGTATAAAATGCAGAAGTGTTGTCCTAACAATTTAAGCAAGAAATTACAATGTGTGTGTGTGTTAGGAATAAATGCAAATAAATTGCAAAAACCCACAGAAAGTGAAACAGTCTAAAAAAAGCAGAACTAAATCCTTAAAGGGGGAGGTGTTCTATGGGAGTGTTCTGAGAGTGACTTCATTATTGTAAGAAAAGTCTAAAACACTGGGAAGAAGCTGGCAGAAATAAGTGGGAACTGCAGGGTTTCATCTATTGTATTTGTCTCGTAACTTTTATGTTACCCACTTCTGCTTCAAAGTGTGGAAAACCCATTCTGAAGGAATAGTCAATTCCAGGAACCAGTATACTCCTGACAGTTAACTTTGGTGGCACAGAAAATATAGAATATGCATATGCTCTCCTGCACCGTCATTTTTCATAAAGACATTTTGGAAAGAAATAGTTTTGGGGGCTTTTTTAATTGCATGTAATCAAAATTGGTATTGTGAACTATATGTTATCATGTGATTACTATATAAATGGTATTTAAACTTTGTATTTAGCATATATGCAAAAGTTGTGTTTTAGCCAAAGTATTTTCTTTTTTAAGCATGCTACTTTTGCAAAGCTTTGTGAAGTTGTGAAGAGTACATTTCTCCACAAAAACTTTACAGACTCTTTATTTACAGCTCCTCTCCAAGATAACATGGCAAACCCCAAAGAGAAAACTCCAATGTGTCTGGTAAATGAGTTAGCCCGTTTCAATAGAATTCAACCCCAGTATAAGCTTCTGAATGAAAGAGGGCCTGCTCATGCCAAGGTAAGGTCACAGTTCCAGGTGATGAGCCATACCTTACATGCTGAACAGATAATATCATGGTTTGGACAAATGTGCTTGTCAAACCCAGCTACATTTCTAGTGTAAGGGCTTTCTTCATGTTCTTTATTTATTTTGCCGCTTTTTCATTTTTTTTAACACACTTATGGAAAGTATGCCTGTATTTCTGTTACAGAAACCCTGTAGATCATTTTGTACTTTACTTTGTCTCTCATCTTTGAATTTATATTTGCTGGTCTTTATATAGACCACATGAACGTCTTTTCAGGGTATCACCACCCTTTCCTAATCTTTCTTGAGCATTTGCTTTTTAGGCTGCATGAATCTTTCTCTGCAGTCAGCATGCTTCTGATAGCTACCTCTGCATTTTTTTCATGGTATGCAGGTGATGACAAATTAGTGACGTTTTTTAAAGTGCTTGTTGATGCAATTTTTTGTTCATGAAGTTGATACTCTATCTTTGAATCTTGCATTCTAGGGCACAAACTTTATCATTGTGCAATTTTACAGTGTAGAATTCTACTAAAACTCCTAATGTGATTATTGCATAGAAGTTTCTAGTGAATTGACAGCTAATTCTGGCCAGTTCATGTATCAATTTAGATGTCCAAATTAATAAATAAAAATTGGGATGGTTTCACATGATGATGGGAAATATAGAGGAATATCCTCATGGTAATTTTTTTTGAGATAATTTTGGATTTCCTCCCTAGTTAGGAGCAAACTGGGGGAGGAAAAAAATTCCTGAAAAAGTCTGATTGAGACACTGGCATAGTTAGTAGCTGATCTGTACTTAGAATTTCTGGAGTGGCTGTACCACATGAGGCAGCAGGCGTCAGGGTGTAGATTAGTAACAGTTTCAGCTCCTCGTGGGCTGCCTCTGCCCTTGCCCCTTGTTTCTGTGTTGTACACTATGTTGCCAGCTAGTGCAGAACCGATGCAAATCACTTGTGTTCAGCTCTGGCTGCCGTTGCTGAAGGCCTTTCAGTGGTGGAAATGATGTCAGCAGGTGCAGAGCTGCTTTTAGCATCCCTCATCGCAAATGGAAATTGAAGTGCTCTTCCTCTTCCTGGAGGTGTTTGGCACTACAGGGTACACTGCTGTTTGGTTTTAGGTTGCAGCATATTAAATTTGTTGGGCTTTCTGTAACGTCTTGCTATTGTGTTTATTGTGTTACCTTTTTTTCCATTTCTGTGAAAAAAAAAAAATTCTTTGGGTATGGTGTGGTTTTGGCTGGTTTTGTTTCTCAGCAGTAAGGAGATTTGAGTTACATGACATTTATATTATACTTAAAATTTTAGTAGGATAAGAAATAGGTTGCATAGGGAAGGAGGGGCCCTTCTCCCAAGCAATTTGCAACAGGATAAGAGAACATAAACAATACCTGGGGAGGTTCAGTTTGGACATAGTGAAAACTTTTTCTGAGAGGGTGGTTAAGCATTGCAATAGACTGCACAGGGAGGTGATGGAATAGGCATCCCTGGAAGTTTTCAAGAAACTACTGGATGTGGCTCTTATTGCTACGATTTGTGTAATGAGGTAGTGTTTGGTCAAAGTTTGGACTTGATAATCTTAGAGGTCTTTTCCAACTTTATTGATTCTGTGATATATTTGTTATTACTTTTAAAGGAACTTATATCAGTGAAGTTACCTAAGTCTGCATTACCTGCACTTCTGGAAGGCAGATTTTCAATGAATTTCTTAAGTTTTCAGTTTTTCAATTTACCTCATTCTTTTAGTTGTGCTCATAGTGGTAAAAAAAATACAGTTATGTGCTCTATAGACTCAGAAGGATATTACATCTAACTTTGATCTGTGTAGTGAAACAAAAAAAAGAGAAATGGATGAAGAACAAGGGTGCTATTAATAAGATTATGCAGGTTTTGACCTATGGAAAGCGAAGAAAGAAATATAATTTATTATGACTCTCTTAGCAGTTTAGTATCATGTCTTGCTAGTAATACGATGATATACTTGACAGAATATGTGAAACAGACCTGAATCTCTCCTGGGGAACATGACCTGAAGGATGTAATGCTGCTGTTGCTCTTTGCCATTCAAGAAGCTTCTCACATTGCTTTGTTCCTACACATACTCTCTTCCTGACCACTGGTGGCTTTCTCAGTTTTCAGTCATGCTCTGCAAGATAGCTGTCTGTGACCACAAATGCTAATTAATTTTTATACTCTTTTTTCTAGTTGTCTCTGGAAAATAAGTTTAGACAATAGGGGTGAAATGGAAAACTAGAAACAATACAGTTGGGAGAGAAGTGGCTCTTCCTAACAGCGCAGTTAGGGTTTCTAGGAGTCTGCCCTCTAGGCAGATTCTTCATCATAAGAAAAACCAGAAAGTCTTTGTTAGCATAAATGACGTTTTGGACTGTGTTAGATTGATCACATCTTTCTGTCCTTCTATGTCAGTGTCATTTCAGGACACAAATATAAAAGGAACAGTGGCAAAAGAAAGTGGAGGGTGGTATAGAAAAGAGGGAAAGGAGTAAGGGATGTAGCACTTCAAAAGCTGGGAAGGAGGTGAGAAGGTTTTACACAGAAGAAGTGAGGAGTAAAGACCTGTCAGAGCTTAGAGAGAATGGCCTTATGAGCACAGCAGAGTAAAAACAAGCACAAGCATCATGGCCTTTGCATTTCTGCTCTCTGGACATCAGGTAGATTATGTTGGGTCTAAGGAATAGAAATTTCCTCAGGTGAGAAATGTCTCTCAGTCAATAGTGGAACTGTTACCCTGGTATTCCAGGACTTGAATGTTCCATTGTCTGCTCCAGAGTTTGGATTTAGTCAGGTTCATTCTTTTAATAAAGGAGTAAACCTACTTCTATGTGTGGGTTTTAGCAGGAGATTTTTTTTGCAGATGTGTTAAGTGAGAAGGTGCTCTGACTGGCAGAAGTTTACTGAGCAAGCCCTTTATCATCCTGAGTTCCTATTTATTGCTCTAAGCATTGAGAGTTATAGGTAGATAAGTGGCCATTATTAATCATATTTTCATTTAAATTCAGGATTTTCCTCCTCCTATAAAAATCCTACATTGATACTTCCTTGAAAAATATGAAATACATAAACTCCAGATCCAGAAATCAATTTTCAACTTTTTTAGTAATAAGGATGTATGTTTGTAGGTAATTTATATAATTATGAGTATTTAGCTCTAATGCCCATCTTAGGTTTCAGATGGAGGTAGGGTTTGACAGAGTGTAAAATGAAGAGACTATTTCTCTCTTTCTTCCATGAGGGAATGGTGACTGTTGTGGCAAAACCAACATGGCAATAGGAGCTGTGATACAGGGACTTGCATTGTGCTTCTGAAAATAACAGTAGGCCAAATCTCAGGGCTGTAATTAAGACACGAGGATGTATTTATAGCATTCAGTTTGAATGCAGTGTATGCATGTGCAGAGGGCTGAGAGACACATACATACTTGTGTTCAAATGTTTGCAAGTACGTGCTAAAAAATTGTATACGTAAAGGCAGATTTAAAGGCTGCCCACCATATTTATCTCTAAAACTGTGGTCCTGGATCTAGCAAGTTTAAAGAAGTTAAAAAATTAGAGAGCTGTCAAAATTAAAATTTTACTTTATATTCTGTTCATACTAATATGTAGACTTTTTTTTTTTTCTGTTGACTTAAGTATCAAGTAGGTGATATCTTGGTTTACTGTGTGTACCTGACTATTAAGTCCTGCCTTTTATCTAGGTATTATATGGCAAATATGTTGAGTTCCTAGCCTTTCTCCCTTTGTTCTCAGATGCTCAAGTGTGATGTGCTCAAATTTAAATAAAACATTTATGTATCATACAGAAGATAGACTCTGTCTAATATCTTAAGCTTGCATTGAGTTTTATCTGCACAATTTGCACAGCATGGATACTTGAAATAGCCCTCTGTCAGAATTTGAAATATAGAGTTTTTATCAGTCCATTTCTGAGCTCTGGATGTTTACAGTTCCTATCCTCACTATAGATTTTACCTTAAGAACTGCAGTTTCATTTTAAAAGATAATATTTCTTTTGTTTCTTTATATTTTTGAATGTATTTGAGTTGTGACTCTGCCCTAACAAAAGGCATTTTTTTTAGAAATGTGGGTATGAGAAATTAATTCACTCTGTAAAACTGTCTGGGCCAAATTCTCTACTGCCTTGAGAAGTGTGTAGTCATTTATATTCCTTCATAATTATTACAAAATTATTTTTTTTTCTCAGTATCATGCTTGATATTTTTTTTCTACAAGTAAAATGACTAAACATATTCAAATGTATGAAGAAATGTGTTCTTAGCTGAACTGTACATAGTCTTCCAAGAGCAGAGGATCAGTTTGAAGTTATTCTTACTTGGTTTAAATATTGTTCTGTTCTTTGATAATTTACATTACAATTACACTATTTTACTTTGTGATTTGAAAAGCCAAATGTTGCTCACTGATAAGGTCTCACTGATCTCTGGTGAAGAATCAGATATATTGTCTGGGAGTAGAATACAATGAGAAGAGAGCACGGTTTCTCTTCAGCCCTGGAAGCTTTCATACGGATTGTTCTAATCCACAGTGGTAATCTTGCCAGTGTTTACCTGTTCTTTGTCTTTGAAGATGTTCACAGTGCAACTGACTCTTGGAGAACAGACATGGGAAGCTGAAGGAAGCAGTATTAAAAAGGCCCAACATGCTGCTGCTAGCAAAGCATTGAATGAAACTACCCTTCCCAAACCAACGCCTAGACCACCCAAAAACAATGTAAACAATAATCCAGGTATGACATTTTCCTCTGAGTGTTAGATCCTGTTGAAGTGTTTGATACTTTATAGCACTAAATAAGTAATTGTAACAAGATACTTAAATTTGTAGGATGAAAATCAACGCAGCTATAGGATGACTGGATAATGACGAACCTCTAGTGAGCTTTCATGGAAGAATTTTTAATGCACATACCTAAAATGGTTGAACTGTAAGGGAATATATTATTTAGATAATGCTTAGATGTGTACAAAGTGACGGTGTGTGATCAACAGTAAGCAGACAGGAGAAAACCAGACTGAATTAACTAAAACACATTTCCCAAAGAGATATTTCAGCTAACTTTACAATGAAGTTGGAAATATTGCATCTCTGGCATAAACAAAAGGCTGGGATTTGGCATGAAAGCTTTGACAGGTAATTTCCTACATTCTAAGTTTTTCTTCAGAGCAACCTTTCTTTTTTTTTTTGAAAGCAAAGCTTTCAAAAAGCTTTCTGGTGGCTTTAGACACTTGTTTCAATAATAGAAAGAATGTATACTGGTGTCTTGCATCCTTCATTTTGAGCTGTTATTTGCAAGTTGCCTTCAGTGCATGCAAAACCTTCTGAGGTACGTATCTCATGCACGTGCTCAGTGATCTGTTCTGTCTTGATCTCTAAAGAAAAAAAAATCATAACTTCATTTCAGATTCATGTAAAGGAAATCAAGTGGTGAAACCTTTTATCATTTTTATTTTTAAAACAATCCTTTCCCCCTACCTCTTTTCTGTTTTCTTCTTTTCCCCTTAATTTCTGTCTTCCCCTCCCCCTCTTTTAAAAATGTATTCTTCAGCCACTTTCTTAAAAAGAAAAAAATTTGCAGTTAATCTTCTCTGTGTTTGAAAGAGAAAAGCAGAAGTAAATTTTCTTTAGAGCTTGTCTGTATTATCCTGAGCATTAGCTGTGAAGGATTGTTTGAGAGGGGTGTGGTAGTGTTGCTCCTTTGGAGGTCAGTACAATGCCTCTCCAGACCCAGGATGCTGGTTTTGTCCTGTTTCCTTCACAGTCACTGTGACATTGGCTGCTTAGAAAGCAGGAGGCTCAAACCATTATGAAAAGTGATGCTGAGTTTGGTTCTTGACCTTGCAGAGTATTACTGAGTTTCTAGAGTTTTTTGGCTTTGAGCATATTCTTAGAGGGTGAATCTGGGAGGAATAGTCTTTAAGAGAATTAATTAAAAATTTTATCACTTAACACTGTAATTTTGCTCCAGGAAAGGTGCATTGTATATGCACAGGTATCTTCTCATCAAAATGACGTGTTGTAGTTTTATAAAAAAATTGAATTCATAGTAATGTCTTGCTCTGGAAATTATAAGAACTGTTGTTGGTATAAGTTTTTGAGTAAGTATTGCATAAACATTTTCATCATTTGGCATATAAAGCTTCAATATCAGACTGGAAAATTATCATATATATGATATAATATATCATATATATTTTTTAAGTGTAAAGTCATTTGAATCTCTCATGAAAATATTTTCAGAATAACTCCTTTTTATTGGAATGCACATTTAGCTCATATAGGATTCTCTTACGGCACTGTAAGTGGGAATTACTGTAGCTGAATGGTTTATCTAAGAACAAAAAAAAGGAAAGAAAGAAGCTGGATGTAGCTTGTTTGGCATTTTTGAAACCATACAAGTGGGCAAGTACTGTCTGCCTTCTATTTTTGCATTCTGTCACCAGTAGATGGCTGTAGTTGCACTGATTTCCAGTAGCAGTATGCTCAGTCTGTAGATCACTCCTATGAGACCATTAGTTTTTAGACACGGTCTTAAATTTTCAAGTCTTGCAAATAAAACATTTTTTCTAACTTGTTGTAAGACTCCTGAATGACTGCAGTAATGCCTGTTTCACCATGCTTGTTTCAATGACTCTTTGCTCTATTTGTGGTTTCATTTAATGGTACTCAGCAGAAAGAGACATTATTCTACTATCTTTATATTTCTTTCAGAAAGTGTCATAATGTATTATAAGTACTTTGGAAAGATGAAAAACCAGATTGATTATTGCACTGACTTTCTCATTCATATGTGAAGATTAGTCCACTGAAACTGCATAGAGAATGCTCTGAGATTTTTCAATGTACTTTTTCATTGCTTGTGATTAAGTTGGCAGCTATATTCCCATCTTTTAAAGAACCTGAAATGTCTTTTTAGTTTCATCTTTTTAATGTAAGAGTAAAGAGATACCGTGTAGGTGTCTCTTTGTGGCTCAGTTCTGCTTGCGTGTTTTTCAGTATTTCTGGTTTTAGCACCTTACTTACATTTTATTTTTTGCAGGCAGTATAACACCGACTGTGGAGCTGAATGGTCTGGCAATGAAAAGAGGAGAGCCTGCCATCTACAGGCCATTAGATCCAAAGCCAATTCCCAATTACAGAGCAAATTATAATTTCCGGGGCATGTACAATCAGAGGTTTGTACTCTTTCTGTTACTTTGTTTTTTTTTTATCCTTCATTTAGTATATAGATTTAAACCTTCATTAAGTTTCTAGGTTATTTCAAAGTAAAAGAAAACTAAAAATTTTTTTAAGGACAGTCTGCAGTCTTACTTAGAACATGCATAATTACCTCCTAAAAGAGACAGGTGCCCTAAGCACATCACAAGGAGTAAAGGTATGTAAAACTGCTTTTATTTTTTTAATGTGCATTAAAAACACATTACATAGCCATGGTAGTGAGGAGGCAGAGCATTAACTTCAGAGAGAGGTTTTTGCTTTTTTTTGTTGTTATGTCATGTGATTAGAATCTGTTGCATCAAAAATGAAGCACTCTTTTCTTAGAAATTGAATATAAAATTGGAAGGACTGCATTTTGAAAACTGGTTTGAAACTGTCCTCAGGTTTCTGGTTTTTTAACTATTCTTCTTGGTCTGCTATCTCAGTTCCTTAATCCTCAAAAATCCTTTATTTCATGGTTTAGAAACCTATATTCAGAACTCTGTCAATCTGTAATCTGAAAAACTTCTTTCTCTGAGATAGGTATTTTTCCCATATTTGTCCCCAGAGCAGCTGTATTAGATCAGGGCTTTTGAAGCTCCAAAAGTGAGACCAAATATGATCTATAATACCATTTTTAATAAAGCTTTTCTTGATGGATTTAATGTTTATTTTTATGCATCTCATAATTATCAAATAGATTGAGGGTATGAATTCTGAAGGAGTGTTTTGGTTCAAAATTACTCTTTAGAAATGGAATTTCTGGCAAGGTTGAAAAATTAAGTAGTTTAAAAAACCCCAGGATTTCAGAATTGTTTAAGGAAATTAGTTCAATTTACTTAATTCTATTTTGCTTTTCCCCAGACTTTAAATCATGGTAACTTGGTAAGTGTAAGATTTTAACACTTCATTCTATCTTGGTTTTTTTGTTGTTTTTTTAAATTTGCTTGGCTGGTGAGTTGTGTTGTTTTATAGCAACAATACCTAGAATTATAGGAGACCAAAAACCCCCCCAAAATAACCTGGAAGAAGCCCTTTAATTTCTCTGTGGAATAGTGCCTGATTTTGTACCACTTGTGTTATATTTCTAGTAACTGCTGACCTGGGTCTCTGCTTACATACATTATGGTTTAAAAAGCTAATTATGGTGCTTGAAATGAGTTTAGTTAATATTTAGAAATCCTTCATTTATTTGAATTGCTTTTATAGTGAGATTAGCTTGACTAGCAGATATAACACTATACTGGAAAAAAATGAAAGCTAGTTAAAGGCATAAAATCTGGAATTCTGAAATCTGAACTTAATTATGGAAAGGTACTGCTGGAAATAGAATGTCAAAACACTCAGCAGTTGCTAACTCATAATATTTTATTTCTTTTCATATAAAATGATTAGTGTGTCTAGCTCAACCTATAAGTTTGCTTCTTTGGAAACTTTCTTTCATGAGAGCCATATTTCGGTGTTAGGGCAAAATGATATATGAGCTTTATTTTTCTGGGCACCTTAGGTAGCCAAGGCCACTTGATTTTTCTGATCACAAACAGGCTGGGTGGGACAGAAGGCCACAATCTCTGCTTGCTTTTTCACTGTTCTTGAGTATGGTTACCTATGCAGAATAGCTAATAATCCTGTGGCTAGTGAATTGAATAATAACTTTAACTAGTAAATAACTGGACATACCTGTCTGTCTGCATGAGCACATACCCACTGTGCACTTGCCATGTATACACATGAATGTCAGAGTAAAGACAAAGCAGAAAAATGGACTGTGTAATACTGAGTGCTCTGTTAGAAATAATTGTTCGTGGCCTTGTTTTGCATTGGGTGGTGCTGGCCCTTTATTATCACAGTAGGAAAGGCACTTATGATGCTTTGTAAGGCATCATTTAAATGTTTATTAGACCTGCTGGTTTAGGAAGAGAGTATTACAGATAATATTCCATACCTTCAGCTACCTTGGGCCCTGACTGGTGTGGCATTGAAGGGGACTGTTCCCCACGGGCACCACACATGCAAACCTCAGCCTCGGCAGAGATGAACCCCTCTTGGTCATTCACTCTTGCAGGATTTGCGTACAAGGAGACAATCCTGGCAGGAATAGTGAAGGAATGATGGTCATGTGAAAACTTTGTGCTGTGCTGTCAGATAAAGGCAGGGCCACGCGGGTGGTACCGAGGGGGAGACTCAAGTCAGTCCTGTGGCCAAGAGATTTGAGCAGCACAGCCCTGTCCTGTGAGCCGTGCTGGGCACAGGCCCTGCAGCTCAGCCTGGCTGCACTGTGGGGTGCTGCCTGTGATGGGCACGATCCTGCACCTCTTCCTGTCAGCAGCGCTTGGTACCTCCTACTCACCCTCACCACAGGCGAGCCTGGAGACAGAGTCTGGATCTGTTACAATAGCCAGTGAAGTTTGAAATGTGAAGCATATGACGCAGCACTCTATTATATTCCTGTGGTATAATATGTTGCATTTATTTTCTTCTACTGCCACATTGTATTTAGCATTTGTTTGCTGATTTTTGCAGATTGGATAGTGGAATAGAAGTATTGCTGAAGTACCGAAATAAATGCTGACTATATAGACTGTTAAGATTTGAGAATTAATGTAGATAACACACTGCATAAAGTATTTTTTCATTTTCATTAGTTTGACTGTAGGTTATTTTCTGCTATTAAAAAAGATATAAAATCTGCTAAATAAATTGGAAGCTTTGTCTTTTATACTATGTCTGCATTCCCTTTAGTGATCTCTGTTTAAAGAAATGTGCTTTTCAAATAGGTGAAGGTACAGACTAAGATTAGGAGATTGCATTAGGGAAACTTTGATACTGCGAGACTAATGTCTTGAGGAGAAAATAGATTATTAAGTTCATTCCAGGGCATCTCTCTACACCACTAAAGTCTAGCGTTTCAAGTGGCACAAAAGATCCTTTTCAATATCTCATGGAAATGTGATCCTAGAGCTGCAATTCGTATGCAAAGTTGATGGCTAGATTCCATGTCAGGCCAAGATGTCAAAAGTGGCAGTGATTCCTTCTCCTTCATTTTCAATTCCCCAGCCTTTGTGTCCCTGAATATTTCCTGCCTCCACCACTGGAAGTTGAGCTGCTCAGAAATTAATCAGTTTTTGTGGGGAGAGCAAAGGAGAAGTTATTCCATGTCTTACAACTGTACTTAGACATCTTCTTTTCTAGTCACACAGGAGCTTTTGTCTTCACCAGAGAGGGACAGGGTGTATTTGGAATGTAAGGGCAACATAGGTTGATTTAAGTGTGTGAAGAGCTACTCTCTCACGTGCCATGGAGCATGCTTATATGGGCAGTATGTTACACAGAGGATGTTGAAGAAGGCTTGTAAGGGACCAACATCCATTTGCAAGATCTACAGCTGATGGCATAAATTTATAGTGAAGGTGAGAGCTACTTTCACAGGGAAAAGGAAAACAAACAAATGAGAGGGAAAAAGGAAAAGGGAAAGGTTTTCCTAGTGGTCAGCATGGAAGACAAGTGATGAGATGTCCCAAATGAGCATCCTTCCACAGGTGTTCTCTTTAAGTGTTCCCTGTAACACTTTCTCACAGTAATTCTGTGGTTTTTATCAGGACATGCTCCAACTACCTACCTGTTGCTTACGGTACTGATAGTGCTGCACCAGGGTAGGTGTTGGATACTGGCTGTTTATAGAGCTTTGTGCATGCAAAACTCAGCATGGCAGAGAGCAAGACATTTAAGGCAGTGTGTAACACTGTGGCAAGGTCTTAGCTCTTTAAGTCTCTTCCTGTGCTAAGTTAGGAGGTGCAAGGCAAGTCAGCTCTCCTCTTAGAGTAGCGAAGTATATAAAATACAGTCTAGCTTGGAACTGGATGAGGTATGAATATTTCCATCCTGACTTCACTCAAAATAATGAATGCAGAACTGGCTAACTTGTTAACAGCACTAGTCATTGCCGTTATACTGCATATTGTGACAGGCTGATGAAGTCTGTGTGATGCTGAGCTGAATCATGTGAAGTTCCCAGCTTAGTTTTCTGGTAGTTTTGGTACCTGCATGCTACAGTTCATGTACAGTTTCCAATGTAGATAAGAACTTTGAGTCCTCTCTGGATTTTCTTCATTGAAGTAAAACCCATGCAAGTTTGGTAAAAGAAAGTTTGATGGCCTCTGATAAGACAGAGCTTTTAAAAAATTTTCAACCCTGAATCCAGCCATGTCAGACAACTTCTTATTTAACAAAGGTGTCTACATTCCTAACTGAGATTACAGTAGAGGAAAATACGCTTTTGGCACTCAGAATTTACCAGTTATATACAACCAATTTAAACATTCATAGGTTGGACTTGTAAGCAATTTTGCAAGAAAGGCACATGAAGACCTTTCAGTTCAAAAACTATATGTTACAGAAAAGCTAAAAATGTCTCATTTAATTTTTTATGGCTTCTTTAATCTAAGAGCTTTCCAGGCTGACTCTGGGGAAGGAGGTGCTCATGCTTTCAGGGCTGGGCTGCTAACTGATGTAGCTTGCGTGTTTGTCAGCGCAGCATTTGGCATGACTCAGGAGAACTGGCACGCTACTCAGCACAGCCCAAGCCTTGAGTCGGCGGGTCAGGTTTGAAAACTATTGGCAGAGTTGAGGACAAAACATGTGCATACTCTCATATCTGTAGCCAGTGCTAGAACCCATACTCCCTCTCATCTCTGGCTTAAGTGCATTGGCTTAAACCATGTGAAAAAGAATTAAAGACATGGCTGTTTAAATTAGTGCTGTTAAACAATAAAATAAGGTATCAATTCGGACTACAGAGTTGTCCAGCTTGATTTGTTACCATTGAATGATGGTTTGTTTTATTTTTTTCTTCAGTTAGAATTGGAGGGAGTAATTCCTGAATTTTAATTGTCCTGCAGTACTTTCAATTATAGAATGTATGTAAGTGACAGAACAAATTGTATCTTACAGATTTAACTAAACTAAGAGTTTTCAGCCA